GCTGTCAAAACTGTAAACACTATACACAGCATTACACACTACAGCAAAACAATTGAAAACACAATGCTCAATTTGTGAGAAGGTTCTTTGTTTCATAACTGCCAATGCATATTTTAGAAACTATACAGTAACAGATCGTCGTAGATCTCTGCAGAGGATTAGGCATTTAGATTTGTGAGTTTCATATGAGTAGTATAAATCTATAGAAAATCCTGCATGTACGTACACTACTGTAACACAACTCAATGCAAAAACAGAATCTAATGCACACAACAGTAATCTTGAAAACATGAACAGGGTGTGAAGTTTTTTTATTTACGTTATTCACACCACACACACACCACAATCACTGTGCGGCATCATGTCGCTGAGCTGTTGCTCGCATCTCGTCCGTAATGATGGTGCGAGGTTGTCTTGCTCTCCCTCCTGGACCTTCTCCTCTCCCATGTTGGCCTTCTCCTCTTCCTCGTTGGTCGCTCCTCTTCCTCCTCTCATTTGAACTCCTCTTCCTCATTGGCCTGCTCCTCTTCTTCCAGGGCCAGCTCTTCTCCCTCCTCTGCATCAAATTCCTCTTCCCCTGACTCTGCCTTCATCCATTGTGTTTGTTTGGAATCTTCAGCATACTGTGCACTCTGAACTTGCTTTTACATGTGGGTACAGCATTAGCAACAAGTGTCTTCAATTTTGAGTCATTGTGTGTAGTGACTGACGCCAGGTGTGTTCCCTGTGTTCAAAGATTGGTGACTGTGGCAAGCATTTTGCATCACATGGGCTTTCATTTGAGAATATGAGCAGAGTTGTTTTGCAACATGTGTTTTAGCAAGGAAAAATGTGTTTAGATTTATGAGTACAGAGGGTTGTGTTTTGTGAATTGTGTCTTCATGTGACATGTGTTTATGGTACTGGAATATGGTGGCTACATTTAGTAAATGTGTTTAGACTACTGGTCATTTGGGTTACAGGATTGGCTTTTGTGTTTTAGCATTTGAGAAAAACTGTAATGATGAGTAAAGAAAGGTGGCATCAAAAGTAATGAAAAATAGAGTATTTACACCAACAGGATTTGCAAGGTTTTGGGTTATTTATTTATTTACTTTAAACTGTGAGCGAAAAATGTTGCAGACTTCTTTTGCAGTCATTGCTTTTATCCTCACAAGGGCATGTATCTAGTAAGGGTCCCCAGGCTAGATCCCCACATGCTACCTAAGCTTACCTCGGAATATGACACAATTGAATCCATATCCCAAAAAGTTGATTCTGTTCATTTGGATATTGCAGAGGATCAAATAATTATTTTCCCCACTCTATATTTCACATGTTATAAGTAGATTTGACCTGCTACATACTAAAGATAATAATGAAATTCTTTCTACATAATGAGACAGGAAGGAAAGAGTGAGCGGCACGTGATACATTTTTAGTTTATCATCTCCTGCCATTGTATTAAAGTCTGTGTTAAAACAAAGTTGCTAAGAGCACTTATAGTTATTTTCTCTTGCAGTCTTTCCACAGAGCACTCTGGGGAAAAAAAACACAGGTAAATAACTTAAAGATATATTATATATGTATGACTGTCAATGTGTACTTCTGTGTTATGAGAACAATAGTTTTTTGTTTGTTTGTTTTTCAGCACTCTATGTGATACCCCCTGTACTGCTTTTGATATGTATCCTCGTTCTTGTTTATAAGTACAGACATTCCAGGATTGAAGGTATCTTTTATATTCATATGCACAGAGAGACCCTTACACTCAAATGTGCATGCAAATACAGCATAACCATATTTAATGCTGTGTGTTTTCAGAAGCTGTTCTCTCCCTGCAGAGAAATGCATCTAGGAAAAAGAGTTCAAAGAAGGTGATTGGTGCAGCACAAAGTGAAGTAAGAAAACTAAAGTCTAAAGTCTTAATAGAGAAGTATGAATGAATGAATTATGAATATTTAGGATTAAAAAAATAACTGATTTTTTACTGTTTGTTAGGTTTAATATGCAAGATTAGTTTGGAATGTGGGACAATTGGAATTTAATTGGATCTCCCATTTGGATTTGTTATGTCTACATTCATTTACAGATGAGGACACAATTATTAGCCCCACCCTATGAAAATGAATGTTTTTGTAAAATATTTTCACAGGTGTTTTTTTTTTTTTTTTTTAAACAGAACAAGTGATTTTCAACACAGCATTTCTAAACAAACTAATTTGCACACTTTCACAGAAACATTTGGGGGAAATAATACCAGAATCAATGCAGTGTTTCTGATGTTTATAAGACAACTATAGTGGCAGCCTAACAGAAACTTTCCTGACTTCAGCCAATGTGACCATTGAATTGCTTCTCTGTTCATTATTTATTGTCCCTCTAGTGTCCACTGGGTGGCGACATTTTTCCACACAAGACAGCACCTGTGACTATCACAGTCAGTATAATAAGCCCTATTAAAAACTGACCTTTTTCATTCAGCCACAGCACTGCTGCTATGCAAGGATGTGGTTAAAACTCTGGGTTATGTTCCAGTTTACAAACAGTTCAAAAACTTCAGCAAATCTGTTTAAACTTGAGAAAAATACTTTTAGATGTAGAAAGTTATTACAGGATTTTAAAATGTCAAGAACTGGAGTGAAATCAGTAAATTCAATGAAAGTGACACATTATGGAACAAGCCTGGGAGAGGTAGGAAAGAAACGATCTCAAGGACAGACGTGTACATAGGGCTGGGTATCGTCACTGATTTCTAGAATCGATTCGATTCCAATTCCTAAGGTCCTTATTTGATTTGATCCAAGATTCGATTTGAACCACGACTCGATTCGATGGGAAATTTTGCCTCAGACAGTCAGACATATACATATACAATATACAATATACAATAGACATATACAAATTTTATTTTTATAGATATAAAAATATGGATAAGTGATCACACTTATCCATATTTTTATATCTATAAAAATAAAATTGACACTTGTGAAACTTTATCACAGCAGATGCCTTTGTGTCAAAGTAACTGTGGATAAAACACAGAAAACCTTGAAGGAGATTTTCCTGGCCTGGCTTTTTATAGCAGATAACCTTAACAATATTCTGTAGTAGAACAAAAACTGAAGAAAACCATGACTCAACATATGAACATTACCTGATGCTGCTGAAGTGAAGCAGAGCAAAGTTACAGAGGCTCTATTAGAGACACAATTTTGCATAATTTGAAAAAGTTTACATTTCTTCAGTATTGAACACCAGAAATAAGGTTTTTTTGTCAGAAGTAATTTAGAAAAATAAATAAATAAAAAAACAGCAGCCGACAGCACTGTACACAACGGTGGGTAATTAGCAAGCAAATAATGCAAAAAGCAGATATTTGAGATGGGAAACTGTTCTTGAAATATACTGAGAGAGAGAGAGAGAGAGCTGTGCTTGAAGTGTGATTTTATCGTGGTGGAGACAAAGTAAGAGGGAATTCATGACGTTCATGTGAAGCAAAAATCTGAAGCCAGTTTGCATCTTGTTTTGCTCCTGGTTCCGTCAATTTTGGTTGGAGAGAGACAAAAACCTGCAGCTTCAGAATGTAGCACAAAAAAAGACATAAACACAAAGCACAGACCCGACGCATCAGAATCAGTGAGCTGTCGGCTTTCAGCCCCGGCAGCATGTACGTGCCATCGGGTGAGAAAGTCGACATCTCACTGATTCTGATGCGTCGGCGGGTCCTTAACGTCTTTGTGCAGAATCTGTGTACCTGCTCTCATTTACTGTTTTAGCTGTTTGGTGGTTGTCGAAATTTTTCTGAGGTTCAACCTGAGATTCTGGCGTTTCGGGCAAAATAAATTTATACTTAAAAATCGATTCAGGATTTTAATGAATCAATATCGCGTTATTCAAGCTAGAATCGACTTTAATCGGAAAAATTATAATCAAAACCCACCCCTACGTCTACACTACAACTTGACTCACTGTTAAGGTGTACAACCATAAGGAAATACTTCTACTGGCTTTAGTGTAATTGTAGAACATTTCTAAATGTGTCCACAACTCAATTCTCTGCAACACGTGTCATTCATTTGTTCTGTGTAATGTGTCTTGATTCTTTTTTAGATTTATAAAAATCAAGGTGTGGTGACCTCCAATGACCAAAGCACCAGTAACGTCTATGAAGAAGTAGATGTAGAAGTACACTACGAAAACTTGACCGCAAGTGAATAAATCTACTGCAATGAAAATTTCCATAAACCCAACAGAAGATACAGTTCAGTCCACAAATATTTGGACAGAGACAACTATTTTCTCATTTTGGTTCTTTAAATGAAACAACTCAGATGCAGCTGAAGGGACTCAAAAGTAATTGGACAAATTAAATAGGTGAAAATAAAATGTTAATTTCTAATACATGATTGAAACCCTTTGCTGGCAATTACACCCCCAAGTCTTGAACTCATGGACATCACCAGGTGCTGGGTTTCCTTCTTTTAGTCTTTAACAAATAAAATGCACGCCCACTTGGGTTAACATCAGGTCACCCACTTGGCCATTCAAAAATATTCCACATCTTTGGTTTAATAAACTCCTGGGTTGCTTTGTCTGTATGTTTTGGGTCATTGTCCATTTGTACAAGTCCATCTGCCCAATCAATTTGACTGCATTTGGCCTGATTTGAGCAGACAGTATGTCTGAACACCTCAGAATTCATTTGGCTGCTTCTGTCCTGTGTCACATCATTAATAAACACTAGTGTCCCAGTGCCACTGGCAGTCATGCACGCCCAAGCACACTGCCTCTGCCGTGTTTTACAGAAGATGTGGAATGCTTTGGATCATAAGCCATTCCACGCCAGCGTAGACTTGGATATCGATACACCTACATCCTGGAGAGTGCTGTCACTTGGTTGGCTGTTGTAAAAGGGTTTCTCTTCACCATGAAATGATTCTGCGATCATCTACCAAAGTTGTCTTCCATGGACATCCAGGTCTTTTTGCATTACTGAGTTTACCAGTGCTTTCTTTCTTTCTTTCTTTCTTTCTTTCTTTCTTTCTTTCTTTCTTTCTTTCTTTCTTTCTCAGGATGTACCAAACTGTAGATATTATCATTTCAAACATTGAAGCAATTTCTCAGATGGGTTTTTCTGTTTTCTCAGCTTAAGGATGGCTTTTTTCACCTGCATGGAGAACTCCTTTGGATGCATGTTGTTTGTTCACAGCAAAATATTCCAAATGCAAGCATGACACATCAAATCAACTCCAGGCCCTTTATCTGCTTAATTAATAATGACATAATACAGGAAGTGCCCACACGTGCCCATGAAACAGCCTTTGAGTTGTCCAGTTACTTCTGGTCCCTTTATAAAGCGGTTGGCACATGTTAAGAAGCTGAAACTCCAAAACTCTTTATTCAATTTGACTGTGGATACCCTCAAATGAAAGCTGGGAGTCTACGCATTATGTCCATGTCCACTGTATAACTATAATTAGAATATGTTCTGGCAAAGAGGTACAAAAACAACTGGAAGTAGCGCTCGCATCTGTAGTTACTAGCTTTGATTTTAATTGCTTAGTGTTCATAAAAATATCTGCTGTTTTTTTAATGTGAAAATCTAATAATGCAAAATCTCACATGATTTTTAAGTGAACAAATACAAAAGTGGAACACAATCAAATTTGTTTGCATACAGTAATAAAACATTACCTTTTATTCTATTTTATATATTAGTTTTTGGTTTGGTTTATTGTTTTGAACTATTTAAAGAAGTCACCACTTTGTTAGAGTGTCAGTTTTAGACATTTGGAGTCAAAAATACAGCAGTGAAAAGTAAAACACACACACACACACACACACACACACATATATATATATATATATATATATATATATATATATATATATATACGTGTGTGTATATATATAGCATTTTTCAAATCTACTAAATGCATTTTATATGTGTAATAAAGATTGCCTCATGATTTCTCAGGATAACAATCTGAGAAAATGTATTATCTGTGTTTGTTATTAATTAAAAATGTACAAAAATAAATAGCTTACTGTAAAGAACTGTGTAACATTAAAAACCACCAGGTTCCTGCTTCCTTCCTTGTCATCATCAGGGGAACAGATTTTGAGGTGGTTGAGTACTACAGACACCCAAGATAATAACGATGAAGGTGTTTTTAAAAAGGGCCAGAGCTGCCTTTGCCTATATCTAATGAGAATTATCATTGTTACGGCCTTTGCAGGTTATCCTGTGAAACAACAACAACACAATAACAACAAACCTCTCTGCTAGAAGCTAGTTAGGAATTAAATCTTTTGCTAGCGAACTGCCATTTATGCATAACCCCATTTTAACAGAAGCAGAAAAAACTGCTGATAAGTCATCAAATACACTCATGGCTAAACACAGACATAACTGAGTGAAATACAACATCAAATTTACGGTCTTATAATCGCACTGTCAGTTGTTCGGCGGCTGTTTTACTCTGAGCTGAAGCTGCGGACATGCACACCTACGGTGCATTCAGTGGTGCATGGGAAATCCCATACACACCCTACCCTTTTGGACATTAAAGAGAGATTGGGCAAAATTCCATTGTATATTGAAAGTTAGTAAAATTAAAAAATATATTTAGTTAAAGACAAAGACTTCAGTTTGCATGTCTTTAAACAGTGGTATAAGATTATCTGTTCTTTCTGCTGCAGAATCAAATAACCGTTTAACTCTAATTTTGAGCTAATTAATAATGGAATAACTGGTTCGTCTTAGTTCAGTCTTTATTAAAGTATCTGTGCAGGCCCCAAGTTGAAGACGATTTTTTTTTTTAACTTGTCGTCATTAGATTCAAGCTTTGGGACTAGAACAAAATCAGACGATTAATGATGCTTTTATATTAATGCATGCTTAATGTCAACAGGATGAAACACAAAACCTCTGAGTTGTTTTTCTGCAGTGAAAGCTTTATAGGTACAATTTCCTAAATCTCCTAACTCTTTTATTGGCAGTGCTGTTCTTAACACTTCTAACTTCTAAATACTTCTTTCACCACTAGATGGCCTATGTCAGCTATTTTATAAATTACTGAAATACATTTAGAGGAAGAGACATCGAAGAAAGCGCCATCCCCTCTGTACTTATAGTTCAGCTCTGCACGTCCCTTCTCATTGCTGTAAAAGACCACAGTGTCTTCTTAACATTTTCAAATCTTAAATTTCAATCAGCCAAGGCAAAGATGTGGAGCCTCCAAAACCTGCTTTTCATCATCTGCAGTAAGTATTTTAAAAGAATAAATAAATAAACATATAAAGGTCAAAGGCAGATGTAGATTAAACAGTAGATTTATCTCTTTTAGTATTAAGGAGCAGTATGCAGGACCAGTTATGAAAAGTTAGATGGCTGTCCTGGTCATCTGATTTCTTTTTACAGCTCTAACGTTGCTTCAAATAAAACACATTTTCACATTATCTTTACAGTTGCTCTGAAATGTGTGACCAGCGCAGTAGGGGTGGTCCATGTGACTGGATATGTGGGGAGTGCGGTTAACGTTTCCTGCTCTTATGATGAGGGTTATGAATCTTATGAAAAGTACCTGTGTAATAATGACTGTGGTAGTGGTGATGTTCTTATTACAACATCAAACTCCTCAAAAAATAAATACAGTATCCATGATGACAAAACAGCACGAATCTTCACAACGACCATCTCTGATCTTCATTCTGTGGATGTTGGGAAATACTGGTGTGGAGTGACCATATTTGGAATAGATATCTACACTGAAATCGAGCTGAAATTAGTACCAGATAAATAAAGACATGGACAAGTTGAGTTGTCCATTTAAAGTGATTAAAAATTATATAAAGAAAGTTAAACGTACTGCCATTACCAGCTATATCTGCTGTAAAATCAACATACTGTTTAACTGTAGTTTAACTCAATACTCATTGGTTCAGTTTAGTACAATCAATCTTAAGCTCCTATGCTGACATCTCAGTGCTTAAGCCCGATGGATAAACATGTACAGACCAGTAACAATAAGACATAAAACACTCCCGAGTAGATAAAATAATAAATGCAAACAGTAAACGCTCATATAAGTACTGCATGATGCAAAAGACATTAAATCAGTGACTAATGAGGAGATAAAATAATAAATGCAAAAAGTAAATATATTTAAACCCTCATATAAGCATGTATGTGAAGCAAGCGAAAGACCTTAAAACAATGAGTTGAATATAAAACTCTTGTTCTTTATATATAACCATTTTTTGGCTGTAACGCTTCTGGTGCTGTTTACCTTCTTGACAGACAGCTGCTGTGACACTGTGACCAAAGTTCAAAGTTATGAGGGATACTCTGAGTCTGTCAGTTGTCCGTATGAGTCTCAGTATCAGAACAGTCTAAAGTACATCTACAGAGGAAACCGGCCCTCCACATGTCTGCAGCAGGCACTGATCACCTCTGACACCAAACAAAATGGACGAATTTACGACTGTGCGTAAATCCCCCCTAATATTGGTATGATCCGAGCTCAGACACTAGGCTACGTTCACACTGCAGGTCTTAATGCTCAATTCCGATTTTTTGATCAAATCCGATTTTTTTGTCTGCGTGTTCACACTACAAATAAAATGCAACAGCAAACGCGCTCTAGTGTTAACGCTCAAAGCGGCCCGCATGCGCAAAAGAAGACTTCACACACAACGCGCTCTGTTTAGACCCAGAGCAAACAGTATTGTTTGATAGATGGCCCTTAATATAAAGAGTTCGGACTTTACATTTCCCAATTTTTGCTTTAAGTTATTTTGTCATTTACATAATAATGTAAATAACCTAATAATGATCCTTATTGCTGTTTTAGGGAGGAGCGGTGCTTCAAAGGATAGTTGCAGATTTCTGTCAGAATCTGCAGATTATACAGTACAAATAAAATGTTCACGTTTCTCCAACATTGTCTTCCCAACAGTTTCACTGATATCTACACGGGATGGCCAGAGAAGCGTTCGCGATGTCTTCTCTGGCGCTGATAATTGGCGTCTGTCTTGTGTCAGTGACGTAAAAGACGGATTTAATGCGACCTGACCGTTCAAACAGCAGTCGCTTTCTAAAACATCGGATATGTATCGGATTCAGTACCACATACGAAAGTGACCCAGATCGGATTTGAAAATATCGGATTTGTGCCGTTCACACTGTCATACCATGATCGGATATGGGTCGCATAGGGTCAAAAAAATCGGATTTGATGCGCTTTCGCTTGCAGTGTGAACGTAGCCTAAGCGACTGAGCGAGGGGGCAGGGGGAGCTGCTACCTGCGAGTGCGCTGTTGGAGAAGCGCAGCGAGGCAGACAGAGGAGAACTGAAGTCTGACCAGGTACCAAAGCAAATCATTCGTACTGTAAAAATAATGTAAATATGACGGTGTATCACGAAAGATTGATATCAAACTGATCACTTGACCCATATTACATTAGTTGTTCTTCAAGTGAATCAACAAATGGCGAAATGAAAAGCCGAACAACAATGCTGTTTTTTTTAGAGTCTTAGCTTATATGTATGTTTATTTCATATTTTCAGTTGTTACCCTCCACGGCTAAATAAATCGGTTTCAGTAATGATATACAAGAATGGACATAATGGGCTTCTTTCAAAGAAAAAACTCTGGTAGATGTTATTTTATATATTATGCTTTGTATGTTGTTCAGTATAGTTCTATGCAAAACAAGAGGAATTTCAATACACAGCAGTATATTCACAGTTTAAACCAGATATTTACACACACTTTATGCAAAACACTATAAAAAATTTTTTTTACTGTACAACATCAATTTAGAGGAAACTTGTTCTGTCTTGGATAAATAAATATTGAAATATCTTTTGAATTAGTTAAATTTCAGAATAAAGAGAGACAGAGCTTTCTATTTTTTATCGCTTTCATCAAATTTAGGAGTGCATATCCACTAAGTTTATTGTTAATTAATAAGAAAACTCCAGACGATTTCATTCTGAGCTGAAGAAGCTTCTGATAGGTTAGTAGAGTCCATGTGAGTAAATTGGTGGCACAGCTGTGGATGCATATAAGGCAAAACACAAAGCCTGTTTCTTTGAAATGGGAAAATCAAGAATTGTCAACCAAAACACCAGGAAAAGAATTGTGGAGCTCCATAAGTGTGGCTCAGTTTTGAATACAATTTGGTGCCATTTACAGTTAAGAAATACAGAGTTTCTCTCTTTACTCTTAAAGTTAACGAATGTTTTTTATATTTATCAACCTAAAAAATTTAGTCTGATTTGATGTTACAATTAAAAAAGTGTTTGTGTTTTTATTAAAAATATATATATAAGTGTAGTGCAGGTCTATGATGATTTTTAGTGCTGCTATCATCTAGTTCTGATTCTGGTTCTGGCTTGGTTAAATCCTAAGTAGTCCTGATTTTGAACTGTTGTAGTCCTGTTTTAATTCCGGATCAGATCTGTGTCATGAATCGCTGTGTGGCAGGCATGA